ATGCCACGAAGAATTGAGGCAGTTCTGAAGGCAAAAGGGGGTCCAACCCGTTACTAGCGTGGTGTACCTAATAAAGTGGCCGGTGAGTGTAGATACAAGAAGAAAGGCTTTCAGAAACAAAAGGTCAGGAATTTCTGACATAATATCCAACAAAAGCTCATTTTCTAAGAGTTCACAGGAAGAGATGACAAAGAGTTGTTCACAGAGTGTAACTGATACTAGAACAATCAGTGTTGACATTCTTGAAAAAAGAAACAATGCTCTAAAAAAACTTTTACGAGAGTTCCGGTCATAAAAATCTGTACCAAAATCCTTGGTTCTGGTGTTGATTCTAGGGAGTTCAATCAAAGGCAACTGGACTTTAGATATTTTAAAACACTTAAAAATTAAACTTCTTTAAAAACAAAAAAACTAAAAGAGAATTAAGAAACATTACAGTTCCTCACCATGAAGACAGGAAGGTGGAGTGAGCAGGTGTGTAGGAGGCTCAATTACTCATTTACAATATCACTCAAGTATAAATATTACTGGTATGAGGAAAAATACTATTCAAAAAGCAAACTCAGCTGCCCTTTATTGATTCAGAGCAGGCAGAAAAAATATTAAATAGTTTCTTCAGCAGCAGGCATGTGAAAACAGTTGTAAATATGCTGAACAGAATAAAAGACAGTTATTAAGTTGTGAATACAGTAGGGTCTCATCGCCCTCATGACTGATGGATGGATGGAAATCCAGAGCTTCTTCAGGTTTATCAAAAAGAAAAAATAAGTAGGTCCTCAGGATGGGTTCTTCTTTAGGGAAACATTTTGTCTCTCCTCCAAGAGACTTCTTCAGTCTGATGACAAACAGGTTAGTCACATGCAAAAGAGGGCCATCGCCTAACAATAGGCTTGATTAGTGTGTGACTAACCTGTTTGTCCATGTGGAGGCAGGGCTTATAAGGCTGAGTTCACCTGAAACTCATCAAGGGTTCTTCTCTAATGAAACGTTTTGTCTCTCCTCCAAGAGACTTCTTCAGTATGAGAGTTTCAGGCAAAATTCAGGCTTTTAAGCACTGCCTCCATGTGACTGATACTCAAATCACATGGCTATCGTTGACACCTAATTAACACCTATTGCTAACAGGGGGTGGAGTGATACTGGCAATAGCCGCGCTGTAGGAGGGGGAAACTGAAAACGGAGGCCCCCACCTCTGTTTAATGATGGACGGTCTTTCTTCACAAAAATGGCTTCTTTTACTCCTCTCTCAAACCAACGTTCCTCTCTATCAAGAATGAGAACATTCTCATCTCTGAAAGAGTGACCGCTGGCCTGTAAATGAGTGAAAACTGCAGAGTTCTGGCCATTAGATGTAGCTCGTCTGTGTTGGGACATTCTTTTGAACAGTGGCTGCTTTGTTTCCCCGATGTATAACTGGTCGCAGTCCTCCTGGCACTTAACAGCATATACAACATTGCTCTGTTTGTGCCGGGGCACCGGATCTTTGGGGTGAACCAGCCTTTGCCGTAATGTGTTTTGTTAAAGGAAAAGGACTGAGGAGTAGTTTGAGGCTGATTAATCCCTCTTACTAAAACCTCTCAAACCAAGAGTAGCCATGTTTACATCATGTGCAAAATTCTTTGATCGGATTGAAATGTACTCAGATTAAATAATCGGAATGTATCGTTTACATGGGCACAATCCGATCATGACGAGTTTGCATGCACCGGGCTTTTATTCTGAATAGAAGCTCTGACATGAACAGTTGCTAACTTTCCCTTTAAAAAAGAAAAAGAAAAAAGTGTTACTTTCGTCATGAACATAAAAAAACAGCTTCTGAGCTTAGAATGGACCTGCGACAGGTTTTAATAATGGTGGAGACGTTACTGCACTCCCTGGTTCAGCTGCTGGTGTCACACAGATTTATTTATCTTTTTCCTTATTTTTTTTTGTGAAGCAGCGCAGGCTGTGTGTCTTCCTTCTTTATTGAATGAGAAAACGGGAGGAAAAGTTCTGTGCTGCTGGAAACTACAGCGCTGCTGTCCCTCCCTCTATGTAGGGGCGGCTGTGGCGGAGTGGTTAGGGGAGTCGTCCTGGAACCAGAAGGTCACTGGTTCAATCCCCCGTCCAGCCGTCTCAGTCGTTATGTCCTTGGGCAAGACACTTCACCCACCTTGCCTACTGATGGCGGTCAGAGGGTCCGGTGGCGCCGATGCATGGCAGCCCCACCTCTGTCAGTGTGCCCCAGGGCAGCTGTGGCTACAGTGTAGTTTGCCATCATCAGTGTGTGAATGTGAGTGTGAATGGGTGAATGTCTGTTACTGTAAAGCGCTTTGGGGTCCGGAGGGACTTGAAAAGCGCTCTATAAGTTCAGTACCATTTACCATTTTACCATTCTATAAAAGAGCAGAAACCGGTGGATGAAAGTCAGCAGACATGCGCAGTCAGGTCAGTTTTCCACAATTGGAATGAAATGATCAGATTAAGTGTTTGCATGCACGCTGTTCAGATTATCAATCAGCATAAACCACCTCTTCTCATTCCGATTACAAATTCATTCGGATCGAGCTGAATCGGGTCAGAATAAACCGAATGGGGTGTTTACATGATGCATTGTTATTCCGAATGGCCATTTAATCCGATTACTTATGTCTATGTAAACGTAGCTACTGTGACTGAGAGTCTTCGTCACGAAAGATCACACATATAATCATCAGCTAAAAGCAGCTTCTTCTAAAAACATTCAGCTTCCACAGCAGAGGAGAGGCACAGTGATGAGGAAGGTTTTACAAGAAGAAAACAAACTCTGCAGGGCTTCTTAGCAAGAACATCTCTGTAGCCTTTTGACCTAAAGTGTGGTATGGATAAGCGAGACAAACGTCCATACTGCCCAGCCACAAAATAACACCCCCCTTATAAGCTCCATAATCCCTTAAATCTGCCAATAAAAAAGCACCCTTTAAATAAAAAGACTGGTTACTGATTGTAAACATGAGAATAAACAAGAAAAATCAAACTTCTGTTATTGTTTTTCTCATGTTCTGCCCACCTCCCACCCCTATTCTTTGTTATTCAGTCAAATAAACCTCTGTTTTCAACTCATAGCTGCAGCTGCAGAGAGAGATCTGACTGAAGCCCCAACCCCGCCCCCAGCCACGAGGACAGATGTGACAAACACCAGCTCAACTCTGATCAAGAACTGCACAGATCCAAAAACACACAACACTCACAGCATTTATACTGAAACACATTCACAGGTTCATTCAGCCATCTGGTTTCACCACTGGTCCCTTATTCCTGGAGTCAAAAACACTTTCACGAGGTGGAGTAAGTGGTGGCAGTGTCTTATTATTATTAATATAATAACTAATACATTTATTAAAATCATGAGAACCCAAATTTAACGGATCCAATCTCTGCTGTTTGCAGACGATGTGGTCCTGTTCGTGTCATTGTGGTGTGATCTTCAGCTCTCATTGGAGTGGTTCACAGCTGAGATGAGGATCAGCACCAGAAGACAGGGAAGTGGTTCAGACATGTGTGACTGGGAGGAGACCCAGGACGCTAGAGAGAAGAGGTTTCATGACTGGCCTAGAAAAGCCTCTGAATCCTCCCAGAAGAGCTGGAAGAGGTGGTTGTGGAAAGAGAGGTGTGGACCTCCCTGCTCTAGCTGCTGCCCCCGAGACCTGACTCTGAAACAAGAGTTAGATAACGGATGGGTGGATGGATGGCTTTACTACACTAGCTTTAATTAAGGTTAAATGATGAAGACTTATGAGATTGTAGTAGTGCTGGGCGGTATACCGTTTTGTACCGAAAACCGGGTTTTATTTTTGTTATGATATGACTTTTCTGAAAACCGGTGTAAATAGCCTGAACAAGTGCGGAACGTTTCTTCGTGGCTGCCAGTGAACTGTTTCCCTGGGGACACGTTTCCTTGCAGCACCGCTAAGTGCATTAGCATGCTAACATTACTGTTGGAACAACTGGCGGCGGGTGGTGTGTTTCAGCTGCTTATGTGGTCTTACGTTAAAAAAACATCCCGTTTTCACCATCGCTGAATGGTAAACACCGCTTCAGTAACGTGCACGGTTAGATTAAACGCGCTACGTTATAATGGAGACGTTATTGCATGGAGACGTGCTTCTATTTGAAAAGCCCGGGGGGGAAGTAGCTTTGTAGTGTAGCGGAGTTGACTGGTGTGCAAGGTGAGTCGTCCTTTTGAGTTTTATTAACACGTAACGATAGACTTGATGATTTTTTCTCAACCCTTCACGATCGGACCAAAATGCATGATTACTGTCTACAACCAGGCAAAGAAGAAAAGACGTACAAGAGGAGGGAAACAGTGATACAGAGGTACAGTAAAAGAAAAAAGTCAATAAGCAAAGTTTGTACATTTTATTATCAGCTGAGCTGTGAGGAAAAAAATACCGTCAAATACTGTGAAACCGGTGTAATTGTTGAAAATACGTGATATAAAATTTGGGTCATACCGCCCAGCTCTAAAGTGCAGTAGCAAACCCAGAGACACACCAGGTTATATTTCTGCTGAAATTATTGACTGCTGTTTAAAACAAGAGAACCACTGAGCTCTACCTCTTCATCATCGCTGGCAGAATCCTGGTAGTCAGGCTCAGACGTGTCCTGCAACCTCTGGTACTCTGCAGTCTCTCCCATCGTGGGGCTGCAGCAGCCGGCTGGTCCCTGCCCAGGGGCTACGTGTCCTCAAAGACCTCGAACAGAAACTCCTCCACTCAGAGAGCTGTCCACAGCTTCAACCAGCCAGTCAGCTCGCTACAAACTCCATGATGTCATCAGCAGGATGAGCACAGCCCGGTGCAAACAAAGTCACCTCAGATCCTTCAATGCATCAAAGTTCAGATTATAATTCAACGACACTGATAGATCATCTCATCCAGCGATTCCAACTTCATTATTTTGGTCAAGTCAGCTCCTCATTGTCCTTTTATGACTCTTTGTTCCACTCTATGGAAACCCAGGTGTTCTCAGTGCAGCCTTTAGAAATTAATTCCTCCTACAGGCTGCAGACAACAATGATCCAGGCTCAGTTCTTCTAGCTGTAAACTGGCAGGAGAGGCTCCCCTTCAGGAGAACTGTAAAAGATAATCAGGAGCTTTTATTGTCAGGATGAATCTGCGAAATCAAACTGATTATTCCAAGTTTATTTCCTCTCCTATGGATAAAATATTTCCCTCCGTCGTTGTCCAGAGGTGCTGCAGTCGAGGTGTGGCCCAGAGCGTGACGAATCCAGCAGATGACTTTTTTAATCGTCTCAAATCTTCACCTCCAGTCTGGCTCTGTTGCTCACCTCTGCTGTCACCACCTTCCTCTCTGCCCGTCCATCCTGTCTTGGTGCTGACGCATGCTCTTCACATCCACAGATACTCCTCTGAGTCTCCCTCCCTCGTTACTAATTCCAGGCCACAGGCATCACTCCGGTCAGCGTAAATCCTCTTACCCTTCCATGGAGCAATATCACAGCTGAAAGAGGGGGTTGCCTTTTATTTTGCACCTGTGTTAATTTAGTCCTCTTCTTTGTACGGTTGTTTTTATCTCCACTGCGGCTGACAGCTCAGCTCTGAACGTGACGGCTGAAGTCTGAAAATCCGCTGGGTTTTTCAAACAGCTTCATCCTGAACGGTCTAACTAAAAGCACGGTTGTTGCTTAATCCCATGATGTTATTGTCATTGTTTCCCCCGCCTCTTCTCCTTTTTATTCTATCAGCCTCTAACCTGCTTTCCGGCCACTCTTTTTTTTTCCATTTCAGCTGCAGCTCAATGATTTGGTGAGTGGCCGCCTCCTCTGTGGCAGCATCCACCAATCCCTCCTCCTCCTCCTCCTCCCCACCTCAGTGTCCTGCGGTCACAGTGATCCTGTCACAGAGGGGAGCCAATGATGGCGAAGCATGCCAACAACAGGAGAGGGTGGTGGGGATGAGAGCGAGAGGCGGGGGGAGTCCTGAAGAGGAGAGTTAATCTTTCCTCTGAAAAACACAGCCATGCAGCTTTGTGTGTGTGTGTGTGTGTGTGTGTGTGTGTGTGTGTGTGTGTGTGTGTGTATACAGTATGTGTGTGTATATGTGCATCAAAAGCACCTCTCTACACTAGAGGGGGAGGGGGGTTGACATCCAGGCCATCTGGATCTTTAATAAATGGACATCTGGATAAAGAGGAAAATAGCATAAAAAAGTGTGTGTGTGTGTGTGTGTGTGTGTGTGTGTGTGTGTGTGTGTGTGTGTG